TTCTTAGCAATATCTTATTTTCTTTTCGTTAGTAATACCTAGATAGCAGTTGTGAAACTGTCTAAAAAAAGTTTCCTTTTAAATCTCTCAGGTACACCCATAAGTGCTGAAGTCTGCACCCACTAATCCCTTCTACTTTTCTGTATTTGTCATGAAGCTAATGTGTGTTGCTGTCTGTGCCGCTTTCTCCCCCTAAAGGGAACCTCTACTGAGAGAAATAGTGGGGTGTCCTTGCTGACTGCCTAAGAATGACAGTTCTCTGGTGTCAGTGTTCTCTGAATTACTGAGCAGGAGCAAGCATGCACACTAAAAATGAAAGGGAAGTTGGAACTCCCAATCTGTGTGTTTGAACCAGGCCAGTGCCACAAAATATTGAAGCTACTGGATCAACATGACAATAAGACAGCTAGCATTCCCTAAAGTAGAGGTCGGCAAAGACAAGCTCCATTTCTATTCTCAGTACAAGGTTCTTTTAATCACATCTAAACATAACAAAATAGCAAGGGTGATATCCCTCATGGTAGTTGTAGCAGGTGAGACTCCAACAAAGTGGTCTCATCACCTGACCTCCTGAGAGAGAAGTTGGGGATCATAACAGGCATCCTGCATCCATGCAAAATTGAAGTGTCAATTTAAGGTTTGATTCATTTTTTTGGTTATTAATGTTTCCCGAGATGCATTTTTACTACATGCCATGAGTGTTTTAAAAGATCACGGATTGCCTTTTTGTATCTACTAAATAATCAGGCATAATGCAGAAAGTGAGCAGCCTCCCAATTGTAAGTTGGATTCTGTATCACTTCTGGAGTAATTATCATAATGACTTAATTATCAGTATGGATTCTTAAGGCAAGGGTGCCACGGGCTGAATAAGTGTTATCCTAAACCTTTTATTGCAGAAGGGTCCTAAGCCCATTTCACAGCTATTGGTGGTTGTGTGCTCCATTCTCTGATTTCACACCTCTTTCTAAGTGCAGCAGGAAAATTTTGAAAGCATTCATGGAACCAGTGTCTTCCATGTATTCTGCTGCACGCTACTCCTATGCCATGTCCATGCTTTATTCTTTCAAATTATTTTTTTTCTTGTTCCCTAATAAGAGAACCTTGTAGATTTAGGAACATTTCAGGGCTTCATACCGGGCAATTTAGTACCGTGAGAATCAAACAAATTGCTGCTTGGAAAGCATCTTCCCCAGTCTAGTCCTCTTTACTGTGTTATGACACCAGAGGAGTCTGCTAAATATATGCTTGATATGGGAGTCCAAATACACAATGACAGTGCAAAATCAATAACCCACAGCGATCAACCAAGTTTTATATAACTTCATTGAAAGAGATTTCCTGATTTGTTCAGAGTTCATGGATTTTGCTGCTCTTTGTACTGCCTTATTAAATAAGCCTGACTGTATAATATTGACAGCACAGTGTGGTAAAATAATAAGCAGTAATTTGTTTACATATACAAATGTAGACAAAGTTGTTGGTACCCTTACAGCTCATTGAGTGAATGGTTCATTCCTCTTGAATAGAGTCAAAACTACAAGACATGCCTTTGGTGTGTAATGGAGTAAAGGAGAGAAAGTGATAAAAGACAAACTATTGATTATTCTACAAAGATATTCTAAAGTAACTGGGACAGATTTGTTGTTACCCCCCAGAAAAGAGTATAAATAATGTGATCATAATGATATTTCTTACTGTTTTCCTTAATCTTCAATTTTGTAATCAGTCAGTCAGCCTATATGTCAAGGTAAATCAATGTCTGATTGCACCATGTATTGCTCTTTGAGTGATAGCGGATGGACTCAAGGGAACAAGAACCAAGAGAACTCTACCACAAAAGGAAAAACACTAGACTGGAATTTCTAAAATGCATATTGACATGCCACAGTGTATCTGAGAGAATGTCCTTTGGACAGATGAGTCAAGATTGGAGCTTTTTGGCAAGCCATATCAGCTCTGTGCACAGATGAAAAATGGTGCTTTCAAAGAAAAGAACACAATACCTACTGTAAGAAATGGAGGAGGCTTGGTTATGTTTTGTGCTTTGCTGCATCTGGCACAAATGTCAGAAAGCTCATTCTCAGTCAAAGGTCATGAGTTTTCAAACAGGATAATGACCCAAAACACACAGCTAAGGGCTCATGTACAGTGCAGCTGATAAATTCACATTTAGGAGCTGTTCAGCGATTTTCCAGCAGCCCCTGAACTCACCCTAATGTTTTCCTATGTGTCCATGTACACATTTTCATTTACAGGCATTTGAGTTTACAGTCGTCGTTTTTTTGAACGCAGAAAACTTGTGGTCAACAGTCGATTTTATCAGCTTTGCAAACGCAAAATGCTTGTAAACGCAGCAAATCACGTTTATAAGCGTTTGCATCTTAATTTTTTTTTTAACTCTTCAAGATCCCGTTGCTGTCCAGAGCCTTTTTTCATCATGAAAAATGCATGTAAAGCGTTTTCAAGGCACTCAGATGGACAAAACACTGAAAACAGGATGTTCCTTCCAAGCTTGTCACATATTGTAATGACCAATTCACACCTCAGACCTCTCCCACCCTTGGAAACAAAAGATATGTTAATGACCATTATTAGAATTATAAATAGTGCAGCACTCAAGAAACAATACTAACTCAAATAATACAATAAATGTGCTCACATGCAATAGTGTCACAAAATTAATCAAAAACAAATCATTAAGTGAGATATCTTCATTATAAAGTGCCACTCAGTATTATTCCCTATCACTTAGTGCCCACATAATCAAACAAATATAAAAATAAAACTACCATTTGAAAAAACAATTTTTACAGTGCTCCAAGTGTAATAACGTGACCACACTTTATATACTACTCAAAGTCCAAAAAATAGTAGAAATGTCCATAAAAAACTGATATTAATAAATTCATGCAATGTGCAAACAAAAGTGCAAAACGAATGTGTTCTTATTCTGCAACCGTGCCACTCTTCAACTCCTAAGGCTAGATTGCCTCCTCACCTCCTTAAACCGACCCAAAGGGCCAAACAGCTTTCAGGATCACTCTGGATCCTTATCCCTGGCGACAAGCACTTCTCTGACGTTGTGGATCACTTTAGGGGACATCCATTACCCCCAATCGGAGGCCTCTGGGGAAGTGATTCACAAACGGAGTGAGAAATGCTGCCTTAGGCTTCATGTACACGGGACGTTTGGAAAACACTTCTGAACGATGGAAACTGACTGATGGAAAACGATAGGATATTCTTTTCTACTGCTCTTTTCTAATGGCTGGCTGGTTGCAAGGACTTTCTAAACGACACAGTAAGAGTCTGTGCTGAATCTAGTACGACGTATTTTGAACAAGCAGAGTGGTCGCTATAAGGTTGGTGAGCAGTTGTTCTCCAGAGGCTTCCGATCGGGGGTAATGGATGTCCCCTAAAGTGATCCACAACGTCAGGAGAAGTGCTTGTCGCCAGGGGATAAGGATCCAGAGTGATCCTGAAAGCTGATTGGCCCTTTGGGGTCAGTTTAAGGAGGTGAGGAGGCAATCTAGCCTTAGGAGGTGAAGAGTGGCACGGTTGCGGAATATGAACACATTCTTTTTGCACTTTTGTTTGCACATTGCATGAATTTATTATCAGTTTTTTATGGACATTTCTACTATTTTTTTGGACTTTTTTGAGTAGTATATAAAGTGTGGTCACTTTATTACACTTGGAGCACTGTGAATATTGTTTTTTCAAATGGTAGTTTATTTTTTATATTTGTTTGATTATGTGGGCACTAAGTGATAGGGAATAATACTGAGTGGCACTTTATAATGAAGATATCTCACTTAATGATTTGTTTTTAATTAATTTTGTGACACTATTGCATGTGAGCACATTTATTGTATTATTTGAGTTAGTATTGTTTCTTGAGCGCTGCACTATTTATAATTCTAATAATATTTACACTGTTTGGGTAGCAGGTTAAGTGCTGGCAGCTTCCAGTAGGTGTATTTCCCTTTTGCGCAGGAGGATCTCTGTCTGTATGTTAATGACCATTCACACCTCAAATTCCTCATGAAGACCCCCTGCCAGGTGGCTTTAAATGACTTACTCTACCAGACACCTATCCAACCCTTGGAAACAAGAAATGTTAATGAGTAACTTACACCTAAGCTAATTTCAACACATACTGCTTTCTCTGCTTCTACTCTCTGTATTTCTCTGAAACAGTCTGAAATAGTTAATTTGCCTCTTTTCAGCGCATTCTGGGCATTTGGGAGGTTTTCCTGTGCTTAAAAAACGCTTTTAAATGCAAATGCACATAAACACGGCTAAACAGATGGTTTTTAACCTACGTTTTCCAGCAGTCAGTTTCCATTGTTCAGAAGTGTCCCATATACATGGGGCCTAAGAGTACCCAAAAATATTATTAAAGTAATAGAAAGTACTTGAGTGAAAAATACGTACTTGAATATATATTTTTTTTCTTTAAACCAAAGTGTTGTGTCACTTTTAAGTAAATATGTGCAAAATGTAAAAGTGTTTGAAAGGAAGGTGTCTGTATATGTTTCCCCTCATGACCAGTCACAGTATCTACCATTCGTGTAATAATTGTCTATAGCAGATGCATGTGTTTGCTCCATATAGAGCAGGTTTCCAGCTCTGACAAATGCTGCTCAACTTGTGGTAGGTTGCAATAGCCCAAAAAGCATAAATCAGCATTTAAGATTTTTATTTAAGCAAGGAAGCAGGTCATATGAGAGAGGTTTTTGAAAACTACAGTTATCCTTTAACATTATCAAATAAGTTACTGTGGGTAAAGGCATTACAATATTAATTGTGCTTTTTTAACCTGTAAATATTGTTTTGAATGAGTTATGTTATAATATACTATGTTTTAAAAAATGACTTTTTTTTTTACATTTAAATGCTTTAGTTAATTTTACTGGTATGTTCTCTCAATGTAGTAGCCTGATTGCCTTTATAGCTCTGGTTGTTGTATCATGGTGTTTTTTTGTGTTTTATAGATCCTGCTTTCTTTCCTGGACGCTGTGCAGAAATACTGGCTGGTGGCAAGAGTATCGGGAAACTGGGCGTTTTACACCCTGATGTCATCACAAAGTTTGACCTGACACTGCCCTGTTCGGCTATAGAAATAAATGTGGAGCCATTCCTGTGATCTTAATCCAACAGAAGAAGGTCCTTTATTCAGAGACTTGTCAGAGGAGAATTGTCCCAAACGCTCTATAATGTATTTATTGGCATTCAATAGTGGCTCTGGAAGGGCCCAATCCACCACATTGTCAAATATTGACTAGAGCACACTATAGAAGTTCTTTTATTTAACTAATTTCTGAGCTGAATAATATGATTTGCCACTGTGGTTGAGTCATGCGTGCATTAGTCACTATTTGGAAAAGAGAAAAGCCTACATAATACCAAAAATAGCATTCCATGTTGTCATGCACTGAGGATTGAAGAGATCACTTTGGGCTGATTTGTTGGAAAGAGCATTTTATAGTGTTTCCACTAAATACAAGTGAAGGAGAGAGATCAGCTTTTTTGGATTACCATACACAACTGTACTTTTTAGGATTACAGTGACAGTAGCAGGTAATGGTCCTGTCCCTTTTTCTATAACAAAAAGAAGAATATGCTTCTGGTTACAGTTACCAACATCTGTATGCAATAATTAGAAGTGACTGTAACCCACATGGCCCAATTGTCACAAGCTATACTGGAATGTTACGACTTTTATACTGTATGTATCTGGCTGTTAGCCACTCTGACATCCAACCTTGCAGATAGTCCTAGTCATACTATGACTTTTTTTGAGACTTTAAAGTATTTGACAAATGCCCAGTCTCTGAATTGTTACCAGGTTCTTTTTTTAGCAGCTATAGCGAATACAGTCTTTAGTTATGAAGTTTTCTGGGCAGTTGACGAATTGCTACTTGTAAAAACAATTCTGTGCTTGAATAAAGAATACTTTCTATCATGCTGGAAGATTTCTAACACCAGTGTTGAAGATTTTTTTTATTGCTCTTAAAAGTTGTATTTCTAGTAGTTTGTTACATACTGCTTTACTGAAAATGACATTCAGATTTGTGTTCCACAGAATAAATAGATTGACAGTATATGGCCAGCATGACCCAAAGCTACTTACTAATGACTGATTTTAGTAGCCAGGAATTATTCACTACCCAATATCCAGTTAGATTTAGAAAGCTTTTTTCCCCCCAATTGCTTTTATAACCGGAGTGGCTTTTCAGTATCTAAAAGCAGACAAACCTTCTATGCTGAAGCTACCATGCTATTTTCCATTCTATCCGGATTTCTGTTCACAGCCAACATCATCACAGCCTTTGTACAGCATTACAGTGCCTTGAAAAAAGTATACATACCCCTTGAAATTTTCCACATTTTGTCATGTTACAACCAAAAATGTAAATGTATTTTATTAGGATTTTATCTGATAGACCAACACAAAGTGGCACATAATTGTGAAGTGGAAGAAAAATGAGAAATGGTTTTCAAAATGTTTTACAAATATCTGAAAAGTGCGGCCTGCATTTGTATTCAGTCCCTTTACTCTGATATCCATAACTAAAATCTAGTGGAACCACTTGCCTTCAGAAGTCACCTAATTAGTACATAGAGTCCACCTGTATGTAATTTAATCTCAGTATAAATACAGCTGTTCTGTGAATCCCTCCAGAGGTTTGTTAGAGATCATCAGTGAACAAACAGCATCTTGAAGGTCAAGGAACACACCAGACAGGTCAGGGATAAAGTTGTGACGTTTAAAGCAGGGTTAAGTTATAATAAAAACCCCCTAAACTTTGAGCATCTCATGAAGCACTGTTCAATCCATCATTCAAAAATGGAGAGAGTATGGCACAACTTCAAACCTACAAAGACATGGTCATTTACCTAAACTGACAGGCCAGGCAAGGAGACCATTAATCAGAGAAGCAGCCAAGAGGTCCATGGTAACTCTGGAGAAGCTGCAGTGATCCACAGCTCAGGTGGGTGAATCTGTCCACAAGACAACTATTAGTCGTGCACTCCACAAATCTGGCATTTATGGAAGAGTGGCAAGAAGAAAGCCATTGTTGAAATAAAGCTATAAGAAGTCCCATTTGCAGTTTGCGAGAATCCATGTGGGGACACAGCAAACGTGTAAGAAGGTGCTCTGGTCAGATGAGAACAAAATTGAACTTTTTGGCCTAAAAGCAAAACCATGAAACGTGGTGGCTGCATCATGTTGTGGGGATGTTTTCTTCAGCAGGGACAGGGAAGCTGTTCAGAGTTGATGGGAAGATGGATGGCGCCAAATACAGGGCAATCTTAGAGGAAAACCTGTTAGAGTCTGCAAAAGACTTGAGACTGGGGTGGAGGTTCACCTTCCAGCAGGACAACAACCCTAAACATACAGCCAGAGCTAAAATGGAATGATTTAGATCAAAGCATATTCATGTGTTAGAATGGCCCAGTCAAAGTCCAGACCTAAATCCAATTGAGAATCTGTGGCAAGACTTGAAAATTGCTGTTCACAGGCACTCTCCATCCAATCTGACAGAGCTTGAGCTATTTTGCAAAGAAGAATGGGCAAAAATTTTCCTCTAGATGTGCAAATCCAGTAGACATACCCAAAATGACTTGCAGCGAAAGGTGGTTCTACAAAGTATTGATTCGGGGGCTGAATACAAATGCACAACATATTTTTCACATATTTATTTGTAAAATATTTTGAAAACCATTTATCATTTTCCTTCCACTTCACAATTATGTGCCAATTTATCATGGTCTATCACATAAAATACATTTATGTTTTTGGTTGTAACCTGACAAAATGTGGAAAATTGCAAGGGGTATGAATACTTTTTCAAGGCACAGTATATGAACTACACCTAAAATGTAGCTATGGAGCATGTCCCTTTGCCTTTTGTTTCTCTAATACAGTGATTCTGGAATGAACTCTGGCTATATCATCATTATTACCCTGCCATTTGAAGAATACCACCAAAGAGGTTTGTCAGGGTATGGTAATCCCATCTTTGTCCTTTTTGACATTTGTCCCTCTTTGGGGATCAGAAATTTTTCAGTCAAAATGGCATTGGAAAATGAAAATGTTGATGTATAGGACTTTAACTTGGAGGGTCAAAATCATAGGGAAATGAGATTCTTACCCTGTTCCACCCTATTAATTTTGGAGGAGATATTCTTTAAAGTGTATACACCTTGCAAGAAAATACAAGGTCTGCTTATGTTGCAGCTCTCCCCTCTCCCAAATAAAAAAAAATGTTACTTAAAATCAATAAAGAAAAGCATTTAATGAACAATGGAAACCAATACCCTACATCCTGCTTCCTTTGGATGCCATTGAGGTCACCCAAAGCTGGTATGTAAGATTAGTACCTGTCACAATTTTATTACATTTTTATAGCCTTTGTTATGTTTTTATATATATTTATATTTGGGAGGAGAGGAATAAATTGCAACATAAAGAGACATTGCAAGCTCAACCAACCTTACAGCTCTGTTGGTCTAAAACAGGTTTTCCACACTTTTCATAAATATATACCATATATGAAGAATTTCATAAAATAGTGACTACTTAGAAACAGGGCTGCAAGCTGTGACAACTTGGCAACTATTACATCAGGAGTCCCTACCAGACTCTGCCCTGACATCAGTGTACCCCTAACATCTGGCTTTCCAGAGTCCATCCTTGCCTTACAGTATGGCTGCAGAAGCAGGCCTGAAGGTAGGTGGCAGAGCAGGTCTGGATGGAGGAAGTTCCCTCTTCCTGTGAATGCTGGGGTGGAACAGGGATGATGACAGCACAGTGGGGAGGGGTTACCTGCGCTGGGGGAAACCATAGAAACAGAGAATACAGGAAGCCTCTGCTGACCTAAATCCTAAAATGGTCCAGTGTTTGAGAGCCCAGTAGGCCCTGGTGCCCATTGTAGATTCTGTATGCCAGTGACCCTAGTTGTGGGCTGGATAAAATCTTGGAATGAACTAGATGTGGCAGGTAGGTCATAGTTTGGAGACCTCTGGTCCAAAATAAATGAACACAATATGCATATAACAGTCAGATTTTTAAAATGAGATGTAATGTAGAACGGTTGTGACTTGAAAAATAACTATAAATGAGGCACATCTCCATAAGTGTTTGGAACATGTATTCGAAGAAGTGTTGTATGTATCACAGGTAGGTGGAGCCATCTTTGTGTATGTTTAACCACCTCCCGCCCATCGTATAAGGAAATGACGGACAGGAGTGAGCTCTCTTGTTCTGGGAAGCTGTTGTATGACGTCCTCCCACTCTAGCTGCACATGAGCCCCCGCAGCGGTGCACAGCACAGTGATTGGTGGTGTGTTATATCCCTAGGACATAGCGTATTACCAATTACGGTAAAGAGCCGAGGGTGTAGGGTCTACCATGTGATCAGCTGTGTCCAATCACAGCTGATCACATGTAAACAGGAAATGCCGGTTATCAGCAGTCCTCTCTTCACGCTGATAGCACGAGTGGAGAGGCAGTAAGCGGTATTCTGCAGAGGGGACATCTACACTGATAATCAGGGTACTGATCATCGGTGCCCTGATTATCAGTGTAGATGTCCCCTCTCAGGAATACCGCTTACTGCCCCATTAGTGATGCCTTTCAGTGTCCATCAATGCCACATATCAGTGCCCATCAGAGCTGCCTTTAAGTGTCCATTAGTAATGCCTATCAGTGCCCATCACTGCTGCCTATCAGTCCCACCAATTAGTGCCAGTTAGTGATACCTATCAATGCAGTCTATCAGTGCCGCCTATCATCAGTGCCATCTATTAGTGCCGCCTATCAATGCAGCTTCATCAGCACACATCAGTGAAGGAGAAAAATTACTTTACAAAATTTCATAACAAACTAAGAATTTTTTTTCTTTAGTTTGTTCATCAAAAAATAAAAACCCAGTGGGGATTAAATACCACCAAAAGAATGCTCTGTCTCAAAAAAATGCTAAAAATATGGTTGGGGTACAGTGTTGCATGACCGCGTAATTGTCATTCAAAATGTTGAAGCACTGAAAGCTGAAAATTGGCCTGGGCAGGAAGGGGATTAAAGTGCCCAGTAGGCAAGTGGTTAATATTGAATGTCAGTCACACCGTATTATGACAAGGCCACACGAAGCTGTATAATGGCCCAGAACTTTGTACTTTCCATTATCTTCAGCTTACTGCAATTATAGAATTTTGTGCTCAGCAACGTCACTTGTTCGAGTACAGATAATTTACTATCTGATGATTATTTTTATGTCAGAATAACTGCACCGCCACTTACAACTGGCGAGTATGTGCAGATTAGACTCTAGTGGCTCTCCTACAGTATTTTCAGTCAGCTTTTAACCTGAAGTATGTGCAATGATAGGAAAAAATTGTAGATATTCAACTGCAATTCATTGTTCCAAAAAGAAATACATCTTTTATAGGCCTATGAACACAAAATAAGTCATGACAAACCTATGAGACAATACCAGTTTTAGTTTATGTAAAACAATAGGATATATGCTTTTCATTTTTTACTGAACCTGGGACAGAAAAAAAACAAATTGAACTGATTGCTATTGGTTACATTCACATGCCTAATTTTAACTTCACTACTGTTATTCTTTCTTGTGTAAAGAATTACTAGTGGTATGAACTTGTGCACCTCCTGAAGTATAGGAACCACAAGTCTCAGAGTGCAGGATATTCCAGGTCTGTAGTAGTTGATGACAAGTTCCCAATGTCTTGTGTGTGGAAATAGATACTATACATAATTTCTTCTCTACTTTACCTAGTTCATCTCACAGATTGACTACAAATTCCATTACGTAGGACATCCAAAGAAAAGACAAACTATCTTTACTATACTGGCTTTTTATGTGCAGTATCATGTTATAACAAGTAGTAACCATTTTATTTAAAAGACGTCTGTATTGAAATAAAAATGAAGGCTGCCATTGCTGACCTTTTTCCGAAGATGCTAGTTACCTAGGTCTCTGGCGTCAGTACTTGAGTCATTGGCTTGGATTACGTATTCAGATTTGTAAAGTCATGAGTGTCAGTACTCCTAAATAACAAACTCATTTCAGATCAGTGACATAGAAGTACTGAAGTCAATGTTTCAATGGATCAGCATGAGAGGGAACTAGCAATTTCAGTAGCAGAGATCTGCAAAGGCATCATTTAAGCTTATTTCCTTTAAAGTAACGTTTATTGGAATCCCTTTCTTAACAATATGCTTTATGATATTGACCATATTTTTTACACTTGACAAGTCATGTTAAAATTCTCCAGCTTATGATTTTGGATCAGATACACATCACCATGTGACTCATATATGCACATCAAATCCCAATAACATATCACTGTTGAAATATATATACACATACGGTTTTGTGCAAATTCAGTCAGACTTCTGGGTGAGGCTCCTACTGCTTAATAATACCACCCATGGTCATCATTTCTATTTGTAAACTGTACATAAAAAAAAAAAAATCAGTGCAGTACAAATTCTGTAAACTTTCAATAGATGCAGGTACAATATATAGTCCACAAAAATTGGCATGAAGCTGTTTATCCAATGAGACATTTCACATTGCTCAACATGAAATCAAGTTCAATGTTGATATCCGAAATTCAGGAAAAATAAACATAAACCTTGGCTGTTGACATGGCTTCATTCCACGTATTAATCTTAAGGGAAAGCATTGTTTTTGGTTTTCTTTCTGTGCCAATGACTTTCAGAGTCCCAGAATGTGAATGTTCCTGAATATCATCATATTTTCATTAAAGAACAGCTTTTAGAATGTAGAACTGGTGAAAATTTACAGGTCCAACACGTGATATAACCAAGGAACTATACTTGTTGCTACAATTCCTATAGATGTATATGTCACAAATTTATAAGGAACTTCAATTTCAAGCCTTTGCTTCACCAGCTGGTCATGTGTTGAAACCTTGTACCATGAGCCGAGTGCTTTAAGAGAGAGTGTTTTAGCAACATACCTTGTGACAACCAGAAGGACAACCCCAATAATAAATCTCAGTATGACCGCAAGTAACATGTTAAAGGTTATTGGTGACATAGTCAGTGGGAAATCACCAGCTGGAATGTAAGTAAGGCCCATTTGATTGGTTAACCAGACACCGACACAGGTCCCTGCTCCAACACCCAGTATGACGGTTGTGTCTGCCCTGGTGGTACTGTAGTGATCCAGCTCTGGGTAATTGTAGCTCAGAAGGAAACCAGCAGTTACCGCTATGATTGGACAAATGGAGTTTGTCAAAAGTTGATGATCAACTAAATCCCACATAGGAAAAGTTGCTGCCAAAAACAAGAGGGCAATGAGAACTCCACAAATAACATCCTGTGAAGGAAAAAAAAAAAAAAAAAAAGAAATTCACATGTGAAATTTTTTTTCAGTTCTACTGCAGAGGATTGGATAAAGTATTTGAAATGAACACCTAAAAAAAGCACTCCTTGAAAGAATAAGGAAAAACTAATTTTTCCACAAAATTTTCCTTACCCTTTTTAAGCAGATGTAACCCCCCCAAATCTTTACACACATGGTGCAGAGGCCCAAGGCATTGTTTACATTGCTTCATTTTCTTAGCCCAATGTCTGTGTGTGCACACTTTTGGCCCCGATGGGGACATAGGGTAAAGGAGCCATGCAAGCAATGTAATCAATGGTGTCTTGTCATGGTGCCTTGCCACGAGATCTGTAGGGCTTGTAGAAAGGAAAAACACTTTTTACGCTTTACACTTTAAGTAAATCATTAAACTAGCAGCTTGTGTACCATACCAGTAATAAATTGGAATTCCTCCGGCCAAGGAGGGGGGCTTCTAGAGCTATAGTTTGCCCAGGGGTATCCAGAACCTATAACTGTCTATATGAAACATTTTCTGTACTGGCTTTCTTCAGCCGATTAGCTAGAAATAACCTGAGAGATATGAATAAGGCCAAAGAGTAAATTATGTACGTTGGGGAGACTTCATGTTAACCACTAGTGCTTTAATGTCTGGACAGCACATTGTGAACTCCTGATGAAACTCAAAGACTCCCTTTGACAGTCATTCAAAAACCAGACTAATAAAAAAAATCTTAACACTACAAGACATCCCCATTTCATCTTCAAAAGGTTGTATTGGATGGTCATTATCCCATGAAACTTTCACGTGATTCAGTGTTGAAAGTATTTTGAGGGAATCAAAGAAGTTTTTAAAGACTTATTGGCAGTTTCCAAATGCCTAGTAGCCACATAAGCCATGGTAATGCGTCTCTGAAGTCTAATCCATTCCCTGCTGGAAAAGGCAGCAAATCACTGACTTGCACTGTACTACCCTGAACTCCCGCTGTGAGGGGACCAGAGGATGCTATTGTTCCTCTCTGGGTAATCATTTTCATTGAAATATCTATGGTGCACTAATTGCATGCTTCTCTTGCCCAGGGCTGCTGCACAAGGCAAACTGAAAGGGGCATTGAGATACAGAGGAGGAATATATGCTTTAGTGAGTCATCCCAGGAGCCTGTGTAAGGGAAGCAATAAGGTCAGGAATGTAAATTGACAGCTGCCATCCATCTCAAGAGAGGCGTCTTGGGCCTGGATGACTTCAACAGGTCAATAGTAGCAAACATACACTATTGTTTTCCCTGAGTTATGGGGATCTTATTCATTGAAGAAACATTGATCAAAAGTGGCCAGGGAGAGAGCAAAATACACATTTGTGTTCTGCTATTTGGCTTCACACAAGAATAAAGCTTCCTTTACAAACTAACTTATACTTTCTAATGTGAAAAATATACATAGAAATGTGAAATCAGCAAATCTCCCATTACAAGGCTAACATTTAAAGCAAATCTATCACCACCACAACTTCTAGAGAGGAATGAGGCAATGCAGAAATTCGTTTTGGGGGTTCTTTTTACTCTTTTAAATTCACACTGATTGCTGTGCGTCAGCAGTCCAAAGTTGGTGGTTTTGGTACCATCTGTTGAAAATTACAGTAGTATAGTGGTGAAAATATTCCCTTATTACCTTTTTTTTTATACCTTAGTAGTTAGGTGTATATTTTACATGGGCACTGACAGCGTGGCAGAAAAAGTATCTATGCAGAAATGTATCTGTTTTCGGGATTTATGAACCTCTTTGTTTTATTTCAGGTGAATATGAGATATGAGACAGATATCTTGGCATACTGACACAGATTTATGTGTACAAAATGTTGTAGTTCATAAAACTTCTGATATATAGAATGTTAGTTATTTCCTAGGTTAGCTAAAGACAAGAGTGGCTACCCTCCCTAGACTTGTGGTTACCGTTCAAATGAACTCTCTTTCATACGAATGCTTATTTCATGAACAGTACAACATTTCTATATTGAAAAGAAAATACACATCTGGTGGTGCCAGATAATATGTATACAATCTTTTCAAGTTCAGCCATGTACACAGTATTCAAACATCAAATTAACTTAAAGTGGAACTTTGAGAAAAGTAAGACATTACATTCAGTAGGATGCAGCCTGTCAAAAGCAATAACAACAGTTTTTGTTTTCCCCCCCTAAGTCCCCCCATAACATAGGGGTAGATTTACTAAAACGGGTCCACACTGTATCTGGTGCAGCTGTGCATAGTAACCAGTAAGCTTCTAACTTCAGCTTGTTCCATCAATGCCGGTTCACATATATGTGGTTTGAACTGCATTCCAATTCGCATGACATGTGAAATAACACTGCTTCCTATAGTGCCTGTTCACATATGTTTGGTGCACTGGCAGCGTGGATTCAGTGCGGATTGAAAAAGAGTCATGTCAGATTTCTGAGCAGTGCGGTCCAGTTCAGGTGCGAATTATAGGCTATTGATTTCTATGGGAACCGTTTCTAAATCACACATTTGTGAACAGGATAAAATCCTGACCTGAACCTGATGTAAACCTGACCTGACCTGAACCGCTGAACAACTACTGTGTCAATTAGCTGTGAAACATGAGTATCAATCTGCACCGAACATGTGTGAATCAGCTCTTAAGCTTTGTCAATAAAACCTGGAAGCTGATTGCAAAATCTGGTGCAACTCCGCATAGAAACCACTCTCCAGGTTTGGTAAATAACCCCCACTGTTTTATTACTTGTTGGACCTACCAGTAGATCTGTTATTTTTCCACTTCCATTATTAATATTCCCATTATTATATAAAATGTATACAGTGCCAGCAGTTTGCACAATGGACAGGCCAAGTTGTCCAGCAAAAGTTTCCATTGCAGGGGTTGGATCAAACTCTAACACTGCCAGGTCTGCTTTTAATCATATGGCTTAATCCAAACTTGAAGAAAAAACACCAGTTGGTGTACCTGTTTTAAAATTGTAAGCTGGAGTTGGACTTTAATTTCTGTGTCTCTTCCTTAAAGTCTATTTAAAAAACTACATATCCATCCAAAAATACCATGCCTATAGGGTGCTGTGTACTCTCTCTACAGAAAGAACAGCATTGTTATCCTGTTAGGCTAGGTTCATGCAAGCCGCTTTTGCATGGTCATGGCAACCCATTCATGAATGGGCTGCTGTGCCTGCTTTTCATGCAGGAATAATGTTCCTGCTCTTTTTTCTTTTTCTTTTTTTTTTTTTTAAACAGCTGCAGGGAAATCGCATGGTGCAACAGCTGCATTTTCAGATGCATGGGGGTGCCATTAAGAATGAATGGAAGCCCCACACAGTTTTGCAGCAAGTAAGGGAACAGGTGTGATTTACACTCTGTCCCGCACCTGCAACCACCCACGTAAGTGTGAACCAAGCCTTACAGAAAGTGTAAAATCATCAGATCTACTGGCAGGTAATAATTCTATATATTACAGGGGGAAAAACAAAAATGGATGTCTTCATGCTACTAACAGACTGCATCATACATGTCATTTTTAATTTTTCCAATAATTATATTTTAAGATGAAAAAATCAGGCTAGCAAAAACAGAGAACAACCTAACATTTCCATATGTACATTTCTGGACATGGTCAAAAAGTGCCACATGTGCTTCAATCCATCATTTGATAATCCATTTTAACCGCCATAGCAGATTACTGCTACAAGGGTGCACAAAATCATGTATATATATATATAGATAGAGAGAGAGAGAGAGAGAGAGAGAGAGAGAGAGAGAGATTGATTTATATATATATATATATATATATATATATATATATATACAGTCATGGCCGAAATTGTTGGCACCCTTGATATTTCTCCAGGAAATCATGTATTTCTCACGAAACTATTGCATTAACACATGTTTTGCTATACACATGTTTATTCCCTTTGTGTGTATTGGAACAAAACAAAAAAAAGGGAGGAAAGAAAGCAAATTCGACATAATGTCACACACAAACCTCCAAAAATGGGCTGGACAAAAGTATTGGCAACCCCTTTCACAACTGCGGATAAATAAGAATGTTACAAGCATGTGATGCTCCTGTAAACTCACCTGGGGCAAGTAACAGGTGGGGCAATATAGAAATCACACCTGAAAGCAGATAAAAAGGAGAGACGTTCACTTAACCTTTGCATTGTGTGTGTCTGTCTGTGCCACACTAAGCATGGACAACAGAAAGAGGAGACGAGAACTGTCTGAGGACCTGAGAACCAAAATTGTGGCAAAATATCAACAATCTCAAGGTTACAAGTCCATCTCCAGAGAACTAGATTTGCCTTTGTCCACAGTGCGCAACATTATCAAGAAGTTTGCAACCCATGGCACTGTAGCTAATCTCCCTGGTCGTGGACGGATGAGGAAAATTGATGAAAGATTGCAACGCAGAATAGTCCGGATGGTGGATAAGCAGCCCCAAACATGTTCCAAAGACATTCAAGCTGTCCTGCAGGCTCAGGGAGCATCAGTGTCAGCGCGAACTATCCGTCGACATTTAAATGAAATGAAACGCTATGGCAGGAGACCCAGGAGGACCCCACTGCTGACACAGAGACATAAAAAAGCAAGACTACAGTTTGCCAAAATGTACTTGAGTAAGCCAAAAGCCTTCTGGGAAAACGTCTTGTGGACAGATGAGACCAAGATAGAGCTTTTCGGTAAAGCACATCATTCTACTGTTTACCGAAAACGGAATGAGGCCTACAAAGAACAAAACACAGTACCTACGGTAAAAATATGGTGGAGGTTCAATGATGTTTTGGGGTTGTTTTGCTGCCTCTGGCACTGGGTGCCTTGACTGTGTGCAAGGCATCATGAAATCTGAGGATTACCAAAGGATTTTGGGTCGCACTGTAGGGCCCAGTGTCAGAAAGCTGGGTTTGCGTCCAAGATCCTGGGTCTTCCAGCAGGACAATGACCCAAACATACGTCAAAAAGCACTCAGAAATGGATGGCAAAGAAGCGCTGGAGAGTTCTGAAGTGGCCAGCAATGAGCCCAGATCTAAATCCATTGAACACCTGTGGAGAGATCTTAAAATTGCTGTTGGGAAAAGGTGTCCTCCAATAAGAGAGACCTGGAGCTGTTTGCAAAGGAAGAGTGGTCCAAAATTCCGGGTGAGAGGGTGTCAGAAGCTTATTGATGGTTATAGGAAGCGACTGATTTCAGTTATGTTTTCCAAAGGGTGTGCAACCAAATATTAAGTTAAGGGTGCCAATACTTTTGTCCAGCCCATTTTTGGGGTTTTGTGTGACATTATGTCATATTTGCTTTTCTGCCTCTGTTTTATATTTGTTCCAATACATACAAAGGGAATAAACATGTGTATAGCAAAACATGTGTTAATGCAATACCTTTTTTGTGTGAAATACTTGATTTTCAGGAAAAATATCAAGGGTGCCAACAATTTCGGCCATGACTGTGTATATATATATATATATATATAATATATACACACACACACACACACACACACACACACACACATATATATACACACACACACACATACATATATACACACACACACACATACATACATATATGTGATTTTGCATTTCCGGGTAGGGGGCATGCGCTCCCTACCCACGCCATTATTTGCGGCCTTGGCTGTCAATCACCGGGTCCTGGCAGGTGATTACGCGCCGGCACCCTGTGATCACAGAGCATTACCAAAGGAGGGAGAGAACTGTAAGTAAACAATACAGTTCTCTCCCCTGTCAACTCCTGCACACCGCCATGCAAAGCAGTGTGCTTACAGTGTAAGAACACACACAGTTAACCCTTTGATCGCCCCAAATGTTAACCCCTTCCTGCCCAATGCAATTAGTACAGTGTCAGTGCTTTTTATTAGCACTGATCACTGTATTGGTGTCACTGAGGATGTCAGTGACACCAAGTCAGTTCCCCCCAGTGTCAGAATGCCCGATGCAGTCCCACTACAAGTCGCTGATAGCTGCCATTACTAGTAAAAAATGATTTATATAAAATAATTTTTATAGCACAAAAATTAAAAATACACACAGGTGATCAAATACCACTGAAAGAAAGCTTTATTCATGGGCAAAAAAAGGACATAACGTTCATTTGGGTGCAGCGTTGTACGACTGCGCAATTTTCAGTTAAAGTAATGCAGCGGCGTAATGCAAAAAATGGCCTGGTCAGGAAGGGGGGTAAATCCTCTGGAGGGCATGTGGGTAATATGGAAGCACAGTGGCTAAATGGTCAGCACTTCCACCTGGCAGTACTAGGGTCGTTGGTTCAAATCCCAACCATGGCACCTCCTGCCTGGAGTTTGAATGTTCTCTCTGTGCCTGTATGGGTTTCCTCCAGATACTCCGGTTTCCTCCCACACTACAAAGACATGCTGGGAGGTAAATTGGCTCCTGTCTAAATTGTTCCTAGTATGTGTATGTATGAATGTAAGTTAGGGACTTTAGATTGTTCGCCACTTGAGGGTTATGGACTGATGTAAATGTACAATATATATGTAAAGCACTGCTTAAATTGATGGCACTATATAAGTACCTGTAATAATTATAATATCCCGATCATATCTATTAAAGCATGTGTGATTCACTGGATTACCTCAAATCAAAGAGAAATGTGGATGTAACAAATATGGTAAATATCAAACAATTCCATTTTAATGCATGTAGAGTATGGTAAAAAAAAAAAATTTATTGCGCATATTAATTAAACTGATCTTAATGTTGACTTCAGTCAATCGTGGCATCATTAGATGAAAATGATTGCACATCAAAAATTTTACTTCAAAGAAGATGTGAAGCAAATACATGTGTGGCATGTCCTCAGTATTTCAAATTCTATGGGATCCATAGAGCTCCTGAAATACACATTTATGTTTTCAGTGTAGCCACTAGGGACACAGCTCATTAGAATCCTGTGACATGTGTTACCTCGCTGCTGTCAAGGAAGAATTTCTAAACCCTAGAGGAAAGAAAAATACGGCTGCTGGCAAAAGTAGCCAATCAAATGTTATTTTACATTTTATAAACTAAAATCGGAGTGACAATCCAGGACACTTACCAGCACTGTGTGCATCCCTGTATACAAGCGGCTGAGGGACACTAGAGTAGAAAGACAGAGGGCAGCTACAAATCCCAGGACAAGCGGGAACTGCAGAGACAACAGACAACAGGTCAACTCACACTTTGCTGAGCTTTGCAAACAAAAGTCCTTGTTAAAAAAAAAAAAAAAAAAAAAAAAAGAAGATTGCAGTTACTTACGTGTTCTGTACATTAAATAGATAATATGTCATAGAAGGTTCAAATGTACAATCCAGAAAATAGGTTATCGCACTATAGCATTGTTTACTATAGCTACTGTACATTTTAGGTTTTTACTGCAGATAATAAAAACTAATCTCAGGTCCTCTGGCCTTTCTTCGTTTATGTGTGTCTTTGTTTTTGCACTGAACCTTTTCTCTGTGGCTCTCTTTGTCTGTACTCCAATCATGGAGATCCATAGAGATGGGGATTTATATCTCCCTACTGGCATTAACACGTGGCTAGGTTTTACCATGCATACTCATGAATGGGACTTGGTCACCTGAAACCCCAGGACCTGTCTACTTCTATATATTGTACCCTACAGGATTGATACAATGTATGTGCCTTACTTTTCCTAATGCAATTCGTTCTCTTTCTGGTTTGAATACCACAGGTACATTTCACCTTATAGTGGGACTTAAAGTGGAATTTTACCCCTAACAACTTGATCTAAAATTATATATAACAAGAAACATACATTCTACATTAATAATTATGCTACCAAAATTAAAGTGTGCTATAAATTGCCTCTAGCATTGTTCCCGTCCCTTCTTGCTGGAGGCTGCCACTATGCTGAAGCCCAGAGCCCCTGAGCAGCAGCAAAAGTTTAGGCTGTCAGCAGACTGGCCTCTAGTGGCTTTGATTTTCAGCACAATGCCAAAAATGAAGAGCAACTGAGCATGTGCAGAGCTATGAGGATTTTAACCGCTTATTGACCGCACTATAGCCAAATGATGGCTAGAGCATGGTCATTCAGTTCTGGGAGAGCGTCATATGATGTCCTCCCAGAACGCACCCTATGTGCGCCACCAGCAGTGCACATCCGGCACTCTCTGTGATTGCTTTGTCCTTTGGACACAACTGATCACATGACATGGTAAAGGGCCAATCACAGCAGCTTTTAACCACGTGATCAGCTGTGTCCAATCATAGCTGATCACCATGTAAACACACTTGCCGGTTATCAGCAGTACTGTCCTCACGCTGTCACGGCATAGGGAAAGTACTGCTGATAACTGGCAAATGTGAAAGGAGACATCTACACTGAAAATCAGGGTACTGCTTATCAGTGCGCTGATTATCATTGCAGCCCCAAAAGTGCCCATCAGTGCTGCATATCAGTGCTGCCTATCAGTGCAGCCTCATCAACGCACATCAGTGAAGGAGAAAAAAAATTACCTGTTTGCAAAATTTTATAATAGAAACAAAGAAAAACTCTTTTTTTAATTCTGGGTCTTTTTTAATTTGTTTAGCAAAAAATAAAACTCTCGGTGGTGATTAAAAGAAACCAAAAGAAAGCTCTATTTGGGTAAAAAAAAAAAAATTCATATGGGTACAGCATTGCATGACCGCGCAATTGTTGTTCAAAGTGCAACAGCACTGAAAGCTGAAAATTGGCCTGGGCAGGAAAGGGGTGAAAGTGCCCAGTAGGCAAGTAAACAGTATAAACACTTATTTTTAAAGGATAAGTTCACCTTTTTGACAAAAATGATAAATGCACATTTTCTTGCAGGTAAAAAAATGTGCAATTATTATATTTGTCTGCAGGAACCTGGAAAGCATTGCACCAGTGATCAGTAGGTCCCTGATTGCCATGCTGGTCTCCTGCAGACCTGTCAAAATATCTGCTAGCTGTACAGGATGTACAGTGAAGCAGATATTCTGCCAGGCAGCTTCAATGAACTACCACAGTGCTGCACAGCGCCATGGTAGTTCATGGAAAACTACAAGCCCACAGCTGTTAAGGCTGCCAGGACTTGTAGGCACTCATTCACAGAACTCCGTGAATGAGTGACGCGGTAGTGTGGGCGGAGCCCCACACCGCCACGCTGTTTTCAAATCTGACAGATAGTACAGAGAGACTTCTTCCCGTATTATCTGTCAGAGGTAGGAGGGGTGGCGGGTACGGCTGCAGCTATGGGAACATGTTACATGTTCCACCCTAAAAATGGGTGGAACATGTAACATGTTCCCAAAGGTGAATTTAATATTTTAATAGCTATACCTGCAAAAAGGGCCAGCGCAAATTGATCTAGCGGGTCTTAGCTTTCTGACTAAAGTTCCACTTTACCTATGTGATCTCTATTTAAACGTTGCTTGTAGTTTCTAAGAATTACATGTCAACATATGCCTCAGGCTCTATGCTCTCCTTTTTTGTCATATTTCCTATTTTGTAATGTATTGACCTCCCCCCCCCCAAAATAAAAAATAATAATAATAATTACAGGTGTATAATATTTCTAATATATCCCCAGCTTAATTGTCTTAACGTAACAGGTGTTGGTACTTTTGATTTAATATCATACATTAGAAAGTGGCAGTACCTCTAGCCTTGTATTAAAGTGGTTCTAAAGGCTTAAGGTTTTCTTGAAATAACCTGTGTGCAGCATCCCCCCAGCCCCGCCTAATACTCACCTAAGACCCCTCTTGATCCGGTGACGTGCACTGGGGTCTTGGCTATCCCGGGACTCCCTCTTCTCGTTGGCTGAGACAAAAGCGGGAGCCATTGGCTCCCACTGCTGCCAGTATGCCATTGAGAAGAGGGGGTGGGGCCGAGCCACAGCTCTGTGTGTGAATGGACACACAGAGTGGTGGGTGCCCCCATAGCAACCTTCTTGCTGTGGGGGGCACCGACAGGAGGGCGGGGCCTGAAGAGCCTGCAGGGGACCCAAAAAGATCAGGATCTGTGGGAGTGGCAAAACCACTGCACACAGCAGGTAAGTATAGACATGTTTGTTAATTTTTCTTAAAAAACAAAAAAAATAAACCTTTAAAATCACATTAATATCACATTCATTACAAAGTTGCAGGGTTGTTACCATTCAGTTAACACCATATACAGTAAATTACAATTTTGCAGTGTTAGTACTATTAGATTACTATCATATGCATTCCAATGCAGCAGTTTTTGTACTTTCTTAAATTTGAAAATGATAGACATTAGGTTTGTGTTCTGTACATCCAGTAATGCCAGTGTAATAGGGAAATGTATTTTTTTTTCAGTGAGGGGAAATTTCATTTTTTCGGTTACTAACATCTCTGTAAACAAAAGAAAAAAAAAAACTCTTTTCAGCACCCCATAAGCATTTCTGGAACTTCTACCCTTCTATCCTGTAGCGTGCAAGCAAAACGTTTTTCCAAATCTCTGTTAGCACAACAATAGAAAAGCCCACCCCCACCTTCCCCCACTCATGTGGCATTGCCAAGGCAGGGAGCATTGCATTGTGGGGTACATACGTATTCTCCACTATGAGAAGTAATGGTTGATTGGGAGAGTTCAAGGCTGTGCTGCACTGACACAAGTAAGAGAAAAAGATAGAAGAGAAATTTAAAAAGTACTATTTGACTATCAAAAATATTACCCTACAATAAAATGTTTATCCAAACTAAATGATTATATCTGTGATTTTGAAAAGCCAATATGAAGGGAAAGTAGTGGTGCAAAAAAAAAAGTGTAAAGGTTTAAGTATACTTTTTTGTGTATAATGTCTTCATTGTTCCTGTAAGGGAGTGTGGAAGGCATGTATCTGTTGTCTATATGCTTTGTGCTAAAAGAAGTCATTTTTCCTCCTCTCATACAGCTGGAAGGTATACCAATGTAACTGCATGTACACCCATAGCGGCTGAATTTTTGAAAATAGGAATATTTGCTAGTTGCATCAGATAATTATTTTTATTATTTAGCCCCTTCTTACAATTGGAGGCACCATACAAAAAAGTAAGCTGTACCGTATATTAGAAATAGCAATAAAAAACCTGATTTCAGATTTGGTGGCAGGGCAGTTTACCTGATAGCGGCCTATGGAGGCCAGTAGGAAAGTGAAGGAAATTGCAGTAGCAGCAATGGCATGAGTTGATGGCATTCCATATTCAGCTTCCACCCTGGTTTCCAGCTTTACCACAGGAGGAGAGGAAGGACGAGGCCACTTTAAGAGATCCTTGGACGCTTGACCTATGTACATGACAATCTGAAATACACAAGTTGTTCAGTTCACACCTGGAGACAGGTATTGGCACCTCTACTTCATGAACAGTGACACTGTGTACATAGAAGGTATACAGCAGCTCAATAAAAGCCATCTGACAACAGCCAGAAGCTGTAAACTAATAACAGATGGCTCAGCAGATTGTATTAAACTTATTAGAACAGATGGAGGAAATTCACTGATGCACTGTGTACTTTTTAATTTCTGCCAAGTGAAATCTGCATGAAGTTGTGATCACTTTTGACAACTTCCACCCTTATAATAAAGACAGTCAAGATCTTTAATTGCATAAAACATGATATACAGTTTTATGTCATTTTTCCCTGTATAGCTCACCTTGAAAAAAAATATAGTTTTTGATATCTGTTTAGATTTTCTTTTGGTTATGTTTATTAAATTCACATGTTAATATTTCATAACCTGGGCTTTAATTTTTTAGTTTTTAGTGTTCAAAATATTGGAAAATTGTGTTTTGAAAGTCATTCATGATAATGGAAGGATAGCAGTTTGAGGTGCTGGATCTCGTAGACTAGTTACTGGTTTCTATCATTTGGTATAGGGCATTTCCCATTAGGCAGCTCTCCAGAGAACAGGGGGCCATCAGTCACTTGTATCTCACATCAATCTAAAGCGGAACTAATCCCTCCTATCGTTTTCAGCCAAGGAAGCTGCCATCCAAGCCTATCTTTGATCTTCAACTGCCATGATGCTGCACATGTGATCAGTTATGACCCAGCCATTTGATGGTTTGACAGTTTAGATGGGAGCACAAGCAAATGTGACAGTTACGTTCCCAGCATGTGCAAGGAATGAAACGGTTAAATTGATGAGTTTAGTTCTGCTTTAAAGAACTGTGCCAACAGGCTTTGGTCTTGTGTTGATGGTACCAGTTTAAGACACTTCTGAGATCATTCAAAATTCACTGACAAGTTGCTTATAGCCTGCAGTTGACCACCTCTTGACCTGGATTTGATTTGCTTCAAGTGTTGAACAGGTGCCTGCAGTAAGGTAGGTTTCCATTTCCATAGACCTGCATGGGAGTGCAAACCCCGTTTGATGTGAGCAAATGCCAGCTGATACAGGCCCTAAAGATATACAGTATGGAAGAAAGCCCTAAAGGTGTGTAGAGTCCAGAGTTTTCATTTAAGGTCTTCTATAATAAATAGTCATGCCATTTTGAGGCTCTGAGGGACCCCCTCCATAAAGGACTTATTAAATGGCAATAATAGTGTAATCTGGGCATAAGAACCCCAACAATCCTAAAAAGCCTTAAAATGGCAATTGAACAGAAGCCTGCCCTCAGTGACTGATTAGGCATTTATTATTTTTAGTGATTATCTATTCTTTAGAAAATAAATTCCCATATTACAGAAACGTAGCAGATTTTATGCAAAATATGTGTGTAAGGCAGAAGCATGACTCAACCACCATTGTCGTTTTTTTCTCAGTTTGGCTTTCCCAGTGGCAATTCCTTTGTTCACATTTCACTAGCCTTGATAAAAGACAGAAATTCAAATCTGTTAAGTTATTTACCTTACTTTTAGAATTTTCTGCAACTTTGCTTTCAATACCACTTGTAAAATGTTTAATACAAAGAAATAAAAAAAAAGCCCTTAGCTAAAGATTAACTTTCACAGCATGGCATTAGAACACTGATCTGAATATATAGGTTGCTGATCTGAATACATGGTTGTATCCTTTGATGGATGTCAATTTTTGTATGTGTTTTTTTTATTATGGGGAGCAGAACTCTTTCCCAGCACAGAAAAAATAGGAAGACGCCTTCAGCTGTGACTCTGGTACCTCTAACAGCCGTTCCTATGGCAACAAAACCAGAGAAGACTCTGGGCTGACGAAGTCACTAAAAATAAGTCTGGCTGCAGAGGGGGAAACATAGGAAGTAGCCGTGTTCAGAGCACAGACAGTGAGTCAGGCGGAGGGATTGCCATATATTAAATCCTGTCATACAGATCAATCTGGTACATGAGCTGAACATATTATCTGTACAACAACTAGATTAATAATTCATGTCCCATCATGTATGGCCTCATTCAATAACTAGTGCCAATTGAAATGTACAGTTACCAACAACTAATCAGAATCCACTGGTCTGTAAGGCGATTTTCAGTTGGTTGCATTTAACGTGACTGTCAGAAGAGAAGTATGGGGGCTGCCATTATTATTACAGGTACTTCTATAGTGCCGTCTATTTACATATATATATTGTACATTCACATCAGTCCCTAACCCTCAAGGAATGCACAATCTAAGGTCCCTAACTCACATTCATGCATACACATACTTGAGCCAATTAAAGGAGAAGTTCACCTTTTGGACATAAATAATAAATGCATACTTTTTTGCAGGTAAAAAAAAAAAAAAAAATGTGCATTTATTATTTTTGTCTACAGGAGCCTGGAAAGCATTGCACCAGCGATCAGATTGCCGATACCACGCAGGTCTCCTGCAGATCTGTCAGAAT